GCGGGGCTAACAGCCGAGCCTTGCTTGGATCATTGAGTTAATAGTTAGTAGCACTTAGCTAGTTAGAGCCCGTTAATAACTTTTTATTAGCTATTTTTTATTTTAAGCTATTATTAGCTACGTTATTTGGATTTATTACCGGAGCTAATAATATAAACTCCCACGTTCTAAATTATAAGACGTTTTGCCATTTCTAGATATTTCCCTTTTACTATGTACCTAGTTACCAGGCGTCTAGCCCAGGCGTCAGCGACGAGCTAGTGCATGCAAATGCAATGCATGCAGCATGCAACACCGACCTGTAGCGCGCATGCATGCCACCGTCACGGCGTCACCCGTATGCCCGGCCCGGGGTCCGGCCGGCCGGGCTGTGTGCCTGTGTCTGCGTGGGCCGTGGCGCGCGCGCTCTGAACGCTAGCTGATCATTGGCGTTAGCTAGCCGGCTGGCTAGCTAGTATGGAAGGGAGAGGGAATCGATCCGTCCACCGGGGCGCGCGGATAGACCCAACTGTTTAGGTGATGCGTGTGCGTTTGCTGCTGCTTCTGCGTGCGTGCATGCATGCGCGTCAAAGAAAAGGGCGCGCGCGCGCGCGCAGCGAGTGCAGTGCAGTGACACACGCTGCGCTACGCGACGCTACACATGCGCAGGCCTGCGCATGAGATGGACCGCGGACGGACGGACGGTGGCGCTGGCGCTGGCGCCGTCGAAGAGAAAGCGCAGCGAGCGCCCGGTCGACCGACAGCTACTCAGTCCTAGGCCTTGTACTACTTTACTCCCAGGGGTGTTTGATTCCGTAGAATAAAGTTTAATCCTGTTACATCGGACCCGTTGAGATATTAATTAAAAAAACTAATTATGAGTTAATTAATTACATAGACAGAGACTAATTTACGAGAAGAATCTATTAAACCTAATTAATCTATTATTAGCACATATTTACTGTAGCACCATATTATCAAATCATGAACTAATTAGGCTTAATAGATTCGTCTCGTAAATTAATCTCAATTTATGTAGTTAGTTTTGTAATTAGTCTATATTTAATACTCTAAATTAATATCAAATATTCCACGGGACATCGACTAAAAATTTGCCCTATACTAGCTCTATAGCTTCTGACGAGCGCCATGCCATGATTCGGCTCGGCTTTCGCAGGCGCAGCATGCCTGCATGCGTGCAGTGGCCTGCGCCTGTGGCATGCATGCCGATCGATGCCCTCGCCTAGCTAGGGGTAGAAGTAGTACTGCTCGCTAGCTCGATCATCGTCATCACTCGGCCTATCAGCCTACTAGCTAGGAGTATGTCGTCATCAATCACGGATCCTCTTGCCTGCGTACCGTAGTAGTAGTTGCCAGGCCTAGCTAGCTCAAATCCAACTGCGGAAGGCAGGATATCATGTGGTGTTAAGATTAAGCGTGAAGTTTTGGGTGTTACATCGACTACTACTTAGGGTGTTAATGGTTGTTCGAATACTAATAAAAAAAATAAATTACAAAATCCGTCGGTAAACCGTGAGATGAATTTATTAAGTTTAATTAATCCGTTATTAGCACATGTGTTACCGTGGCACTTTATTATCAAATCATACACTGATTAGGTTTAAGAGATTCGTCTCGCAAAGTAGTCGCAATCTGTACAATTGGTTATTTTTTAGTCTATATTTAATACTCGATGCAAAGACAACCAGTTTAACGAATTATCTTTCAGGAGACGGGTGTCGCGTGGAATACATGGCGAACCCAAGAATTTCATATCCACATATCCAACGGGCGATGAAGCACCACTTGCCCGAGTGCGGGACCCTGATCTGAGTTCATTTTATGTGGCCTTTGGTAACGTGGCAATGTTTATTTCCTCTAAGTTGCCCTTTTTTTTTTTGCCAACAAGGCCATGAAGAGGAAAAGGGTTATAGCAGAATATGACACAAACAAGCCACTAGGTTATGTTTTGTCGGTGGAAATCGAATTTTGTTCCTGAGCTAAAGAGGTAGCCAAGTTGCCACGTCGCTTTGTCACTCGGCCCATGAGAGAGCTAGTAGCTAGCTATGCAAACGGTTAGCCAGGGCCGACGATAACAATGATTCTCCGTACATGCAAAAAGTCTGCAGTCAACATGAAATCTCACGCTCATATATATAGAAACCGCAAGTAGCGACCGCCACGCGAATAATGTAGAGAAAATTTGTTCATTGCCATTGGAATCTATATACTCATTTGCTATATGCCATTGAAAATTACAAGCTTTCTTTATTGCCATTGGTTTATAATTTTTTTCACCTGTATGTATGCCATTGCCGTTACTTTTACATAATCTCCGTGCACACACCGTAGCTGGTTCGTCTCCCACGGCCCGTGCGTGCCGCAAACCTTTCCTGCGCGCTCGCATGCCACCGAGAGCTCGCTGCCCATGCTTGCCGCGCTTGTCGTCCATGCACATGCGCCATCACCGGCCGGGCAGCTCGCTTCCCCGCGCAAGGGAGACGAGCCGGCCTAATGTACATCTGATGGTGATCCGACGAAGAGCAAGGTTGCCGTCAGCGGGCACACACGTCCTCCGTGCCCGCGCGTGCTGCGAAATTCCGGCGGCCTCACCTTCCCCGCGCTCGCTGCCACTGAGTTCTCGGCTTCTCGCTGCCCACGCGTGCCGCACCTGCCGGCCCGTGCTTGTTGTCCACACACGCGCGTGCCACGGCCATTGACGACTCACCTGCGCTTGCCGTTAGCGCACGCGCATCATAGTAGGCCGTCTCGCCTCCTTCTCTCGCTCGACGCATCTCGAGAGGAGCGCGCGCCGAGGGCCTTCGGGCACGGGGGAGGTGTTCGCGCGGGCTAGGCATGCGCCGGCGAGGCCTGTGTGGGCGCGCGATCGAAACGTGTGCTGGGTGGGTGCGGTGAATATCATATTACTGGCTTCCTGTTCATGTGGCCACAAAATGTGCATGCACAGAAAGCTTCCTTTTTTTAATCTATATTTTACGTCACCAGGCCGGCCTGGTATAGAATATCATATCACTGGCTTTACGAATGTCGGTCTCCGCTGCTTTCTTTAGTACCACATGAAATTGCACTATTCTTTTACAACAAATCATATATAGTACTACTATCTAGTCTAGTCTAGTCTAGCTCAGCTCCCCTGATAATTAATTAATAAATTGTGTATATATCAGCTCAACCAAAGAGAACTCGAGTTCGATCTTGAGAACTACTCCTAGCTAGGGCCTTGTTTAGATTGAAAAAAATTTTAACCCGATGAATAGTAGCATGTTCGTCTTATTTAGTAAATATTGTCTAATTATGGACCAACTAAGCTCAAAAGATTCATCTCGTGATTTCCAACTAAACTGTACAATTAGTTATTTTTTTACCTACATTTAATACTCCATACAAACGACTAAAAATTAATGTGATAGAGAGAAAGTGAAAAAACTTGGAATTTTGAGTGTATCTAAGCAAGGCCTAGCAGGCCCGCAGAACTGGTATTTGAACTCCACTCCTAGCTTGTCCAAATTTTTTTCCCCTAGCCTTAGGTGGTCTCAGACTTGCTATCACCCCGTCAATCAAATCGCGCATCAAAGGCGACGCGACGCTTGACATGACAGAGAGAATGAAACCTGGTACTCCTACAGGATCAGGATGGATGGCAGCGCATGTGGTGCCCGTGCCTCCCCTGCCGCATGCGCGAGAAAGAGGGGGAAAAAAAGAAAAAGAACTCTTCCCAGTCCCAGGAACGTGCATGCACGGGCTGGCCAGGTGGTGGTGGTGAATTTTATTTTATTCAGGCGCGGATCGTAGAATGTCTCCGTGTCTGCCGCCTGGACACTGGACACTGGACACTTGGACAGGATCACAGCTGCACAGCAGGCAGCAGCAAAGCGTTCTGCAACACGTACGAGTACTCCTACCGCGTTTTAGCGAGCGAAAGCAAATTCTCCTAATAGTTTGTTTAGGCTGTGTTTAGTTTATGAATTTTGGGAATTTAGCTACCGTAGCACTTTCGTTTTTATTTGACAATTAGTGTTTAATCATGGACTAAATAGGCTCAAAACGTTTGTCTCGCAATTTCCAACCAAACTGTGCAATTAGTTTTTTTTTTCGTCTACATTTAATGCTCATTCGATGTGATGACTACTGCAGCACTTTTTAAGAATTTTTTTGGAAACTAAACACGCCCTTAACTGAGATTCGAGGGAGGGGAGGGCGCCTGTCGTCTGTCTCCCTTTCCCTTTTCCTCGAATCGCACCGCAGACGACCCCAACACCGGTTGGCTGGCTCGACTCGGCTGTGCTGTCGTGTGCGCGCGGGGTGCGGCGGCAGTGCGTCACCACGTGTGTGTGTGTGTGTGGAACAAGCCACCCAGGAACCGGACCGATAAAAGGGCGCGTCTCTTTTGGCAAAGCAGTTCAAAGCGTAGCGTCGCGGGCAGACGCAAAAGCAATGGGGAGGGAGCCCAAAGTTGGTAGCGCGAGGATTGGATTTGGACTGATTGGATCACACACTGTGGGTCGTGTCACACAGCGCCAGAGCCTCCGTTCCCAGTCCCCAATGCAATTGCAAGCTAGGAGTAGTAGTCCCCATGTGGCACGTACCGTACGGCCAAACAAAACGAAACGCAAACGCGGAGGAGGGCTTCTTCAAGCCATGTTGTCGCGGCTGCAATGCATGCGCTCGATCGGGGGGCTCGCCGCTCACGCTCTCAACTCCATCGACGCCGTGCGCTTGGGGGCCTTGGGCTGCTGCTGCTGCTGCCGGAGCCTGCAGGCAGGCACTGCAGGGAATCAGCGGAACGCGCACACCGCCCGGCCGCCGTGTTCGGTGTTCTCGGCTCATCTGCGTTGCGGCACCGCCGCCGCGCTCCACAGTCAAGAAGGGCACATGGATGTATGCCTGTCTAATTTTAATTTCTACGGCTGTTTCAGTTATTCGCTGCAGTGAATTGCAGGCAGTCGTCGTTTACTTCTGCAGCTACAGCAAGCAAGCCTTACGTCACGTGTCCGGCCGGGATGACGCTTACGGAGTATTTCGAAAGGTGTGGTGCATGCATTCATCCTGCAATTCCCCGCTTTCCTAAGCTACTACTCTTCCGGTCAAAGAGCAGGTCTCTTCCAGTCAAAATTTACTGCAACCACTTAACCAGTGGAGTTACGAAAGAACAAAATGCATGCATGCACTGCATGATTTCGTAACAACTAACTCGTCCTGTTTAAATTTATGATTTCCTAACAAGTACTCGTGGTGCTTGAAATCGTAAGTTTTTCTGACTATCTAGGCATGTAGCAAAAAAGCTACGTGCTTAGAAAAGCCAAATCAATTTATAATTTGGAACAGAGGGAGTCCTTGAATGTGTCGACGATGGCAGTATAGAAATTACAAATTGCGGTGTTTCAAAGTTTGCTTGTTAGGGCCTGTTTATATCCCTCCAACTAATAGTTAGCAAAAAATTAGCTAAAATTTGTTTGGATCTTTAGCTAATAAGCCTTACCTACCACCCAAGACACAACTAACGATTAGCTACTAGCTGGTTTCTCCTTGCTAACACAGCTAATGGCTCACTTTGTGAATCCAAACATGGTTTTCTTCTAGTAAAAAAATATAAGTAGACTAGATATATATACGTTTTTCCTGAGTCAAACCCTTTTAACCTTAATTTGAGTATGTGAAATCTTATACGAGTTATTGGCAACATGTGAATTGCATTTCTAGATTCATTTTAAATATATTTTCACAATCTATTACTCTCTCCATATAAGATAATACTCTCTCCATCCCCCCAAAAACTACAATTCTAAGTTTGAAGCAAATCAAATTATCGTAGGTCCGACTAAATTTATAGAAAATGATATCAACATTTATATTTTCAAACAGGTTTCCTATCAAACATATTGATACTCCCTCTGTTTTTATATGTCATATTAGTTTTGTCCAAGGCCAAACATTTCTAACTTTGATCAACATTTTTTTAAAAGAATCATGTTGTTTCACAACATGTGAACTATATATTATGAAATTATTTGTCATAGTAAATCTAAAAACATGAATATTATATTGTTAAATTATATTTTTTAAAATTGATGATCATAGATAGAAACATTTGACTTAGGATAAATCTAATACAACATGTAAAAATAGTGGGAGTACTTTTTCGGTATCATAAACGTTAGTACTTTCCATACAAATTTGACCAAACTTAAAATTATTTTATTCCTCGAAAAAATCTACAAGAATTGTATTATTTTTGGGACGGAGGGGCGTGTTCTTATAGATATTTTTAGCCAAATTAAAGCGTCAGTTTGCAGACCGTTTTGATGCCGTAATGGGTATATTATTCTCGATAGGAAGAAGTATAGCATTGTAGGAGAAAAGAAAATATCTAGTTGGAAGCACCAAGTTGGAATATGTGTAGAAAATTAAAAGAAAATTGTCACATCAGGTGAGAATATATTCTGCGGCTACGCAAAACTTGTATGACTGAGAGGTGGTTTTGAGTTGTATATTGAGTTTGGAATTCAAAGCTGCTTAAAGCAAGGGTTTAGGTCATTTTTTTATTCTTTCCTTTTTGAGATGATTCTTTTCTTCTATAAAGAATGTGTATATTGGTTTGTTATTATTAACACAGCTTTATTCGTCTAAAAAGTGTAGAACTTTAGACGAAAAAAATATACATTTACTAACGTGTAAATTGGGGAAAACACAGAAAACGAAGGATGAATATAAGCTCCTGTAAAATTTGTCTTCACCTCTGCAGTTCGTCAATTTCATAGTGACAGAAGAAGAAAAAAAGCAGGTTTAATCATGAAATATGTACTGTTCAAATAGCTGCTTCTTTTGCTGAATTTTGAACTCCTACACATGTATGTTTGCAAAATTAAATTCAGGCCACACTGGCGGTTTAATTATTCTTATGTTTTCACGCGGCATCTGGCCGTTGTTTGTAACGGGAAGAATCGGACCCATGCATGCATAACAAACAAGGCATTTGCAAGCAAGCATACAAAAGAACATAAATGTCTATCTCATGCCACGTCTCCATCTCCACAGTCATCCATCCAAGTGCCGAAGTGAGCCACCCTGTGAATTGTGAATTGTGAATTTGTGATGCATCCCCGCCCAAAGCAACTCATCCCCAGCTCCTCCAAATTTGGCTTCCCAAACACCCCTGCACCTCGCTGTCCACCTCCACCCTGTCCAGCAACCTCCAGCAGCTCGATCTCGCTCATCAGCTAGCGAGAGGGACAGCGAGTGGCAGCGGCAGTCACAAGTCACAAGAGAGAGGAGAGGGACAAACACCACACGCACTCTCTCTCTCCCCTCGCTAAATCCCAAATCCTAGTCTTATCATCCTGTCTTGCTGCCTCCCTTGTGCCTCCTGCGCTCGGAGCTCCCACACTCCCGAGGGGAAAAAGAAAGCGAGAAAGCTTCGAGCTTTGCCTGCCGCCGCCCCCCCCCCCGCTAAAATGTGATGTTGCCATCCATCCGAATCCGATTGCTTCTAGTTTAGTCCCCCTCCTCTCCTCCTGGGTCAGTGTCCATCCATCCCTGGCCACCACTTCGTCTGCTATCCATCCCCATGCCGCGGCCGCCACCAGCGCCGCTGCCGCCTTCTTCTCCACTCTTCTGACTGTGTTTCTTTTTGTGTTTCTTGTCGTCCTAGTTATGGGCTCCGGCGAGGTGGATGGACGCGCATTGTCGGACGCGGAGCAGCAGTAGCGGCGGCCAAGCAAGCGGGGGATCTGGATCCGAGGCACCACCACCGGGCTCCTCACGACGGCGACGGAGGCGGCGGCGGAGAAGGAGGAGGAGGAGCGCAGCAAGAAGCAGATGAGCAGCAGCGGCGCCACCACCACCGGCTGTTGCAGCTCCACCAGCAAGTGCAGCAGGACCAAGACCCGCCGCCGGTACCCCTCTTCCAGCTCCAGCACCTGCAGTCCGCGGCGGCCGTGAGGCAGCGGGGCGGCTTGTCGGCCGAGTATGCCCTTCTCGCGCCCATGGGCGACGCCGGCCAGTCCCACCACCACCACGCCTTCCAGCCGCAGCTCCTGTCCTTCGGGGGAGTCGGCCAGCACCACGTGCACCAGTTCACGGCGCAGGCGCAGGCGGCGCCCGCGGCGTCCAACTCCTCGAGGCCGCGAGGAGGAGGCGCGGGCGGCGAGGTCGTGGCCGCGACGTCCGCGTCGCACTCGCGCGTGAGGGGCGGCGCCGGGGAGATCGTGGCGGTGCAGGGAGGGCACATTGTGCGCTCCACGGGGCGCAAGGACCGCCACAGCAAGGTGTGCACGGCGCGCGGGCCGCGGGACCGACGCGTGCGCCTGTCGGCGCACACCGCCATCCAGTTCTACGACGTGCAGGACCGCCTGGGCTGCGACCGCCCCAGCAAGGCCGTGGACTGGCTCATCAAGAACGCCAAGGACGCCATCGACAGGCTCGAGACGCTGCCCGCGTGGCAGCCCACGGCCACCGCAGCCAATGCCACCGCGCCGCCGTCCTCCTCCACGCACCCCGACTCCGCCGAGAACTCCGACGACCAGGCGCAGGCCATCACCGTCGCGCACACGGCCTTCGACTTCCTGGTGCTGGTGGAGCCGGCGGCGGCGGCAGCGGCGCGGGCTTCCTTCCGGCGTCGCTCGACTCGGACTCCATCGCGGACACGATCAAGTCTTTCTTTCCCATCGCTGGCACGGGAGGCGGCGAGGCGTCTTCGTCCACGGCGGCGGCGCAGTCGTCCGCCATGGGCTTCCAAAGCTACACGCCTGACCTCCTGTCGCGCACCGGCAGCCACAGCCAGGAGCTCCGGCTGTCCCTGCAGTCCCTCCCAGACCCCATGTTCCACCACCAGCACCAGGACCGGTCGCAACAAGGCCACAGCGGCAATGGCTCCGCGCAGCAGGCGCTCTTCCCCGGCGCCGCCAGCTACTCGTTCGGCGGCGGCGGCGGCGCCATGTGGACCGAGCAGGCGCAGAGCCAGCGCATGGTGCCGTGGAACGTGCCCAACCCAGGCGGCGGGAGCACTGGCGGCTACCTGTTCAACGTGTCGCAGCAGGCGGCGCACATGCAGGCGGCGCTTGGCGGCCAGAGCCAGTTCTTCTTCCAGAGGGAACCCCTTCAGTCCAGTAACCAGCCCTCCGAGCGAGGATGGCCGGAGACCGTCGAAGCCGACAACCCGATGCAGCAGCAGCATGGTGGCGGGCTAAGCTCCACCGTGTCGACCATCGCGTTCGCGCCCGGCATCGGCTTCTCCGGGATCCGCATCCCCACCAGGATACAGGGCGATGAGGAGCACAACGGCGGCAGCGGCAATGGCGACAAGCCGCCGCCGTCTGTGTCCTCGGCTTCTCACCACTGACAGCAGCAGTGGAGCACAGATTACTCCGCCCACCACCAACCACCATGAGCATTGAGCAATACACCATGTATCAGTATCAGTAACATCACCGTCAGCTCCTCAACATGCACCCTTGTGAGAATTCTCTCGTAATTCTTCGTTCTAGCATTGTATTCCCACTACAGGACTGCTGTTTCTTGGACTGAAATTTCTGATGCAATTTTCTATCCCCATTTCAGGTAGTTATAATTTGCTGCTTCTTCCTATGGTGATTGCAACAAGGAGGAGCAAGGTTGGGAGCTAAGCACTCTTTTGGCTGGTTGGTCGGTCGGTCGGTCGGTTTTCTAGATCTCTTGCTGCTTGTGTCAATGGTTTTTGCTTCAAGAACTCACTCGGAGCTTCTTCTTAGAAATTAGGCCTGTGAGAATGCAGCACATTGGCTTGATCGATGTGATGGCTTGTTTGCTGCATTACGGTAGGTTTAGTTGATGTTCTACTAGTTGCTGTAGTTCAAGCTTGCTTCTTTTGCACTTGCTCTTGTTTGTGATATGCATGAATGGTTAATGTGCTTCCTCCTGGGGTTCAGGAGCTAAGCAGCAGTGCCAGTAGATGTTGTTGTTAATTAACCTGATAATTAAGCGGATGGGGACAGTAGTCTTTCGTTCTTTAATTTGTTTCCTGTGATTGGCATTTGAAACAGATTGTGCCTGCCTGCATGCCCTAGATCTCCTCCTAGTTTTGTTTAACATTTTAAAATTAGTATACACCTAGGATGGTGCCAGTCTCCTACCTGCTGCAGCCTATCACAATATCTTATCTTGGCTTTGTTCTTGCTGAACCATTGTTTGGAAGTGAGATATTAAGCCCTTGTTTAGTTGGGTGAATTTGGATTTTGGGGCTACTGTAGCACGTTCGTTTTTATTTGGCAAATAGTGTTCAAACATGGACTAATTATGCTCAAAACGTTCGTCTCGTAATTTTCCACCAAACTGTGCAATTAGTTTTTATTTTTGTCTACCTTTAATGCTCCATGCATAGGCCACAAACATTCGATATGACAGATATGACAGGTACTGTAGCAACTTTTTGGATTTTAGGGTCCAACTAAACAAGGCGTAAAGACCTCAAAGGCATCACAGGAGTAGGATTTGTGCACACTTTAAGCCTCTTTTTTTTATTAAGGAAAAAAAAAGATACCACAAAACTTGCAGGAGTAGGTTCATTGCATGGCCTCACGCTAAGCAGTGTACTAGTAGTAGCAGTTTTATCCCACCCTAATCCAGCATGTGATTGGTTTGTTCTCTTGCCCTGCCGCTGCTGCTGTAGCAGGACTGCAGGAGGACGCAGCGACAGCAGCAGCAGCTGCAGCTTTCCTGTGCCATCCATGATCTACTCCATCCATCTATCACTGGGCACGGCAAGAATGACACAAGGGAAAAGGTTTTGCTGCGTGTCATTAGCGCAGTACATGCGGCCACCGGCGGCACAGTACATTGCCCCCGGCTTTTTAACCATTTTACCTCAGGCCCGTAGCCTGCCTGCCTGCCTGCAACGGGCAGTGCCTGTCTGGCTGATGCCAGGAGGAGGGAGTCGAGATGCAGTGCAGTGGGGGGCCATGCCGGCAAGGCAACCCGCCAGCCAGGCAGCCATGGCCATGCATGATTCCACCTCCTCAGCCCGGCCTCTCTGATTGGCTTCCACATGGAGTCATGGACTATTGGACTACTCCCTTTGTCTGCCCTGCCCTGTCGCTGTTGTAACTTTTACTAGGGCGCTAGCTGCGCTGGTAGTTTTGCTGTGGGGATGATGGGTGATGATGAGAGGCACGTCATATATAGTTCTTGGAGGAGCCCGGGGCCGGGCCCTTCATTCATCTCCTCTAGGAGTCGGCCGCCATAGATGAGGAGGGGCTTTGCTTGCATGCTTGCGGCATGGAATGAGCAACCAACACTTTATACACACCATGCTATTCACAACACTGATGAGAGCGCAAGTGGTTATCACAAAGCAAATAGTAGTACTTTACAGGCTTTATTAGCCTGGCCCGGCAGCTACGTACATTTTGTTCCACTGTAGAGAATACATAGTACTGTACTATATATAAAGACTCATTTTTTCACTTATATATAGTGCTACGCCATACTACAAGTTAATGATAAGATTATGTCTCACTGTGTAAATCAATCAAATGTCTCTCATTGTGTTTAGACCAATATATGCGAGTATCCCCAACTGGATTTCTAGACGCACTGATTTTTTTTCTCTACTTGCTATCTTCTATTGCTTTTATTGTCAACCGATCCTTATATACGGGAGTACCCCAACCTGGTTTCTGAACACACGATGTTCCTTTTCTCCTTGCTATCTTGTAGTATTGCTTGGTTTGCTAGTTGAGGCAGATATATGTGAGTATCCATTCCCCTTTGGGTATCGCTACTATTTTTTATTCTGTGGCCTTTATTTTGATAAGTAAGTCATTGGTGGAAAAAGAATCGATAGGATTTTGTGCATATTGTAGCGACGAGGGCGACTAGGATTTGTATTCTCTTTATATTACATGAAAACCTTTTTTTTTTCCTTCCCAACCCGCTACTAATAAAAAGTGTTATGATTCAGGTAAACGAGATAAGATAGTATTCACAATCTAAAGCATATATATATATATATATATATATATATATATATATATATATATATATATATAGAACTACTACCCTGTAGCTGGCTACAAAATAACTTATTCTGTAGCCACTTTGAGTTACGATAATTACTATGTTAATTTACGAGATTATAGCAACTCCTTACTAAGTGGTTTACTATAATGTTATGGTAAATATCCTCATGTGTTATAGTAACCCAACTATCGTAAATATGTATTGACATTATCGTAAATTAGTATATAAAATTATCGTAAATGGAGGTGGCTACAGAATAACTTATTTTGTAGCTGTCTATACTAAATAAGTTATTTAATAAATAACTTATTTAGTATATAAAATATGTATTGACATTATCGTAAATTAGTATATAAAATTATCGTAAATGGAGGTGGCTATATATATATTGCTGATTAAATGGGAGAGAAGGATCAGAAGTGTATGTATGTGTGTGCTTATTTATATTTAGCATATTCATTACTTGAAATGAGAAGTTTTCAGTTCAAAATTTGAAATTGGTGAATGCTTTGCGTCCGTTCGATCATTCGTCCACGGAACTGACTACTAAAGTAATAATCATTCTCTCCATTTGCCTGTTCGTTTGATCGTATCAGTCATGCTTATCAGCCATGATGCAGTGTTTTTCTCTCACAACAAAACAGCATCAGCTGGCTTATAAGCCACACAAACGATCAAACGAACATGGTGCATAACGGTGGCATGCAAGGCCCCGGCACTAGAATCCACCCTACCAGCCCCCCTCACCTATCAACCCTAGCACACGACTATAAAAATGCTCTAACTCGCAAAGAGTGTCATTCCATTTTATCCAACTTTATAGACACAAATTTCTTGTTCTCCTTCCTATGCTGTATTGATTTGCTTGTCCAATGATCCATATATATATGATTAGCTGCAATATCCATTGACTAATATGGATTTCTAAACATATGAATTTCTTGTTCTCATTGTTGGCTGATATTAGTAACAGTGTGGCTCCTTGTGTTGTGATATGATTTTGATTCCTAAAGACAGTCCATAATAGTGGCATATTGTTACAATTTCATTACCATCGAGACAAGTGATATAGGCCCATCGTTTCGTTGAAATTTGGCTTATGCTTATGCTGAAATGCTATGAGAGAAAAACATTATTCGTTCGCTGAAAAGTACCGCTGAAGTAGCGCTGCAGAACAAGGCCATATATAATCTTCCTCAAACCAATTAGTTAGCAATGACACAAGTTGTCCATCTAGCCAACCATGTTTCGTTCTCACAAAAAAATTAAGGTCAAACTCTCACCCTAGCATGTTTAACATGTCGATGATATTTAAAGTACACAAATAGGAAAATTTAAGTAATTAGACTTGATGAGTGCTTGGAAGAAAACACACGGACTATGTATGTCTTTATTCGCGCACTCAACACCCAATCATCAACATTGGTTTACATGTTTTCTACATCGTGTATGTATAAAATGTGGCATTTTTGTAGTAGTATTTGGTAGTATCTAAAATGGAGCTGGTTGAGGACCCCATGTTTGGAGAAATACGGGAGGTCAAATATAAGAAATCCTAGTTGAAACGATATATCGAGATCATTAAGTGTCATATTTAAAATGAAGCACTACATTTGAGTTAATGAATAATCTTATATTAAAATGCAGGCACACATATATACAGAGGGAGTCTATACTCTACAAGTGTGAAACAATCAAACAAAGGCACATATTTTCTTTTGAGAGGATATATGCACCATGTAGCTTAGGTTGTGAAGAACCAGATCCCTCGCGCTTTCCTGAGGAAAAAGAAGGGTTCTGAGGCAAGCCAAAGAAAGAAAGCCACTACTAGCTGTAGCATCAGCCGGCAGTCCGGCACCCACCACCGCATGCAGGAGTCGGGAAACGGCCATGTAAACGGATCACATGCGTTTGCACGGCAGCCATGCATGCGGATGCTACCAAAACAAACCTGACGGGAGTCCCCAGCCCGGGGCGGGCCGCCAGGCGGCCGGTGTGCGAGTGCGACGACACGACTACTGTAGCCGGAAACGAACAGGTCCTCAGATTCGCGTCGAGCTCCACATGACGTGCATGCATCCCCTCGCGGTGAACAGCAGGCGACGACGACGACGGAGCGTGGGGGGTGGGCGGACGGACCCCGGGCAACCGACCTGGCACCGGCAGTCAGTACTTCATGGCTATGGGCCGCGGGGGTGTTTGGTTTCCCTCTTACACTAAATTTTAGTGCCAGTCATAACGGATGTTTAACACTAATTTAGAGTATTAAACGTAGACTAATTACAAAACTAATTACACAGATTAAGACTAATTTACGAGACGAATCTACTAAGCCTAATTAGTTCA